AACAACAACAACAGAAACCAGCAATCAACAGCAACAAAAACCAGTGACAGATTTTTAAAACCAAGCAGGAAATCCAGTTTGCAGCCCAGCAATACCAAAAAAACAAGCACAAGCAAAGCAGAGAAGGAACCAAATGCAAAAAGACAGTAGCCTCTGATTTTCGAAAGCTCAAAGAGAAACAATCCAGGCTCTTAGTGTAAAGCTCAGCCTCAAACCCTCAATATCTCTGGAAATTATGTTCAAATTTCAGCCAAATCTCACTCTATATCTCTCTGAAGTATCTTAAAGTTTCAGCCTAGAAATGACCTTCTGATTACTTAGCTTCTTAGGGTAAAAAAAAAAGCCAGCCTATTCAACTCTATTCTCTGGACTTATTGTGTGAAAAATCCAGCCTATGTGCTCTGAAAATAAACTGACCTTCTAAAGGTTGAAAGACCATCCCAGTATTTGTTTTTTTTAAAATCTGAAATCCCAGTGTTCAGCCCCCTTTTTTGTTCTAAATAAGCCTATTTATAACCCACAAGAGACCTCTAAGGTCTGCCTCGAACCAAAACAGATCTATATCTGCCCCTGCCCCTTAACTTCCCATGCCTAAGTGTCTTTTCTTGATGTAAACTATTTTGCTCCCCATGCTAGCATGCATTGTCTCTATTTGTTTTAATCAAGAGTTATGGGAGGGGTTATAATATTCAAATAAACCCATGCTCTCATGTTATGCACCCCACTGACAATTAAACTAAGGTTAACAAATGACCACTAGGCAAACTTAAGCTTACAACCTGTTAAAATCCTATTAAACTCCCAAAATTACCCCTTAACCCTTGCATATTACTGTATTACCCTAAGCCTTACTTGTCTGAACTTACCAACTATATAAGCTTAAACTTAACACTGATTTCTGATTGATCTACTAGATTTCTACAGCTATATCCAATTCTCAGCCTAAGTTCAACTTAAAATCAGATCACAAAGGGGTGTCAATCAGATGAAATAAGTTGATCAAATTGGGAACCAATCCTGATCAACTTAAATCAAACAATCAACAGGGAGCAAATGATGAATCAGTGACAATCAGGCTTCTATGGCAAACTATGAAGAACATGGGATTACTGACTGAACGAGCAGTCTAGTTCAAAGACAAAACTGAACATATTCAACAGGTTCATAAGTTAGCATAGCAGATGTAGAACTGGTAAACATACATGGAGAGCATTAATGAACTACTATCATGTTTCCTATAATTTTTAAACAAATTAATTGACGACACTTATTTAACCGACTATACAAGCTATAAAAGATAACAAACAATCAATAAACACACAAGCTAACAGGTGATTCCAGCGGCTTTGGACAAAACCGGGACTTTATACGAAACTAACTAATCGACGAACTTGTTCGTATTGATTGTATAGTTTAAAGAACATTCAAACGAACAGAAGAAAGTTTCGACCAAATAATAGGTCTGGAGATCAACAGACTCGACAGAAAAGTCAAAAAATAAACTAAACTAAACATGAAAACAGGTAAAAATCATAGAAGAACAAAAGAAAAGGAACAGCTACCTCAGGGACTCGAAATCAAACTAACCCAGGCTCGAACTCGGACTTGACCATTTTTTAGGTCGAATGGACCTTAATCGAGTGTTCTCAACCGAGAACACTTCGACTAAAGTCGATTAGACCCCACATCGTCTTTTAATTTGGACAGATCTCAACTTTTGGTCTTTTAGGGTTCTTTGTGGTTTGATTTGGGATTCGTCCAGCTCCGTTCAGATTCGAACGGAACCAATGGCGTTTAGGGTGTGAGGGAGGTCAGGAGGTGTTGTGGTATGAATTTGGGGTGGACTGGGATAGGTTTCCATTTGGCTCGAATCTTCAAATGAATATTCGAGAAGATAGGAGATGATTCGAGCCAAACGGTCACCGGATCCGGAAAAAGGGTGTTCAGATGGTCTTGTGGTGTTAAGACGGTGGCCGGTGGCATTGTTGCTGCTAGGTTTTAGGCGAGGGAGTCCTAAGGCGGCTAGGGTTTGAAGGGTTCGTCTCTGAGACGATGATGAACATGAGATGGAGGGGGGGTTTGGTTCGGGGGCGTGGGATAAGAGGAGGGATTTATATATGGGGTAGGAGATTAGATCATGGCCGTTGGATCAATCAAGATCAATGGCCAGGATTAAGGGATCTAAACAATACGACGTTGTTTGGTTTAAGTAGGGGGTCGGTTCGAACCGAGCAACGGGTCGGGTACGGGTCGGGTAAAGCCATGGGATCGTTAGATTAGATTTGATGGACGGCTCAGATCGAATGCCCTATGCGGCGTCATTTGGGGGGCGTCTCTGAAAAGACCTGGTTTGGACTGGGTCAATGTAATTGGTTTGGGCCTGAATTTTGGTTTCACCCGGCCCAATCCGAGTTTCCTTGATACTTCACCCATTTTTCTTCTTTCTTTAATTACCAAAATTAAACAAAAATCCTAAATAAATTGTAAAATCAAAAATAAAATTACACATATTATTTAACACCTATAATAATTAACACATAAATTAAACATTAAAGAAAATCACACAATGACAAGAAACACACATGCATATTTTTTGTGATTTTCTTTTAACCAAATTATAGTTAATTAATTCCTGAATGTACCATTAATTTCTAAATGCATGCAATATGTATTTTTGTATTTTTAACTATAGCAAGGTGAGCATTTACGGATAGAACAATTATCAAAATGTCACGCAAATTCTCAAAATTGTACCCGAAGGTAACTCATTTTATTTTTTTCCGATTTCTTTTGGAGTAATTTCCGTGAAGCAAAAATCACGTGCTCACAGGCACAAGTTGCTGATGATAATAGCAAACAGATTATTGAAACAACTGATAGATGGCAAGTATGGTAGGAGGACATGTAGGCTTCTCGTTCAGTGCATTCTTCTGCAAAGGGGGGAGTTTGGTGCACAATCAGTAATTTATGGAACGAATAGAGACAGTTGGTAAAGTTGAAACTGTGGAATGGTAATAATACCCAATTTAGATCCGATATATGGTTGGGAAGTGAAAGTTTTAGATCAAAATTCCCTGTTTTGTATAGCTGCTCCACAAAAAAATGGAAGGGTATCAGACTTTTACTTGAATACAGGTTGGCAGCTGATCCTTATGAGGGGTCTTAATGACTGGGAAGTTGATGTATTTGCTCAAATTGATGCAGTTACTGGACATGGTTAGATTAGAGGACAACAAGAAAGACTCACTGATCTGGGCAGCAAGCAAAGATGGTACTTTCACAGTCAGGAGTTGTTACAGTCTGCTAAAACAACAACAGGGGCTTTAGCAATCAGATTAGCCATGAAAAGCAATATGGAGATCAAAAGCACCTATTAAAGTAGCTTGTTTTGGTGGGTCGCAGCAAAGGGAACTTGTTTAACTTAGGAGAACTTGCAGGAGAGAGCAACTATTCTATGAAACAGGTGTTACATGTGTGAAGAAGCAGAAACAGTCAATCATCTATTCATTCATTGCAAAGTGGCAAGACAATGTTGGAGCTCTTCCTAAATATATATGATGTCAACTGGGTTATGCCCTCCAATGTCAGGAATCTGTTGGAGACTTGGCAACACCAAAAAATAGCAAAAAACCAGCAGTTAGTATGGAGAACAATTCCTCTGTATGTGCTCTAGACAATATGGTTGGAAAGAAACAAGATTTGCCCTAAAGGGGAAATGCAGCATGTTTCCAGGATTAAAAATAGTTGTTTATTAAATTTTCTAGTGTAGGAAGTATGCTATGGAAAATATGGAACATTATTTGGTTTTTCTAGAGGAATTGGGAGGAATGTAATTGCCTTGTTGTGATATCTGCTGGTTGTTTGTAATTTTGTACCATCTTGGTACCTTTTGTTAATAAAATTTTACCTTATCAAAAAAGAAAAAAAGAAGACACAAGGTATGAGATGTTGCTCTAATTGCACTTGTGTGTGTCCTGTGGAGAGGGGTAAGAAAGTCTTTGACTGTATAGAGACTGACTTCGTACATATGAGGAATATCCTCTTTTAGTTTCGTTTTGGTGCACTCATGAGGTTCCAGTATGTATAGAACATTTGGTGATTAGGGAACCATATTTTTGTGAGAGCTCTCTACTCTTTGGTATACTACTTATATAAGAAATCCATTGTTAACAAAATCATTTTACAATAAAAAATAATTTAAAAAATATTTGCTAATTAGTATTACACTTCTAAATCCAACAAGTAACTATATTTTTTAAAACAATCTCTTTAATTATTATTTTCATAAACACCTTAGGCACTTACGTGGATACTCTAGAAGAGAGCATTTGCATGGATGAAAATGAGGTTGCAAAGATGTATATCAGATTGTCCATATCCTCTCTAGTATTGTAAGAAGGTACTCTTTTCATCCTTTTTTCTAAAATCTATTCAGATAAAAATATGAATTCTAAAAGAATTTTGAAAGTAAAATTTTAAAGTGTGATTGACAGACCTTTGTTTGACACTCAATATACCTGTAGTAGTCCATCTTCATAGATGTTTTTCTTGAAGCTATTGATTATCAAATATATTTGACCAATTCCTTAATTTTAATGGTTAGTAGTTTAAAGTAGATCTGATATACCAATCTAATCGATGGATGGAAAAAGTACTTTTCCTTGCAAATACATAAAATACAAATTTTCACTAAAATTAATAACAGATATAAAATTAAAACATTAAACCCCTTACCTCACCCAACCCCCATGCCCACGAAAATGACAACAGAAAAGATGCTCTCAGAGCAATGAAGTTTTTATCACTTATAATTTCATACTAACAAAATTATCAAACATAATTGTTCCAAGCTTCACGCCACGGGCCATCACATACTAGTATTACAGAAGAGGAAAGGTTTCGACCTGTGTGCTTCAGGTCAATTTAATTCAAGTCAAGGATATTTTAGTCATTTTAACTATTAATTCCCATTGCTGCTTACGTACGTGGATATTATAATTTCAGCCACCGCATCCTTGTGTAGTTCTCCTCCTTTCATCCGATCCTCCTTTTTCCTTTTTCGATGGTTTTCTACCATTCTCTGTCTCTCTCCTTTTCTCACTAGACTAGATCCAATTGGTTTCTTAGATTCTTTCGCAATTTTGTAGAAGATAATTATCTTCGCTCTTTCTTCTTTTCCTCCTATTATGGGTTTCGCTGTTCTTGGGTTTGTTGACATCTAACTTGTTTATAGTTGTGTGTGTGTGTGTGTTTTTACATTCCCTATATAGCTCTTAATCACAGCAGGAGGAAAATTAAGTCTTACCCTCCAATTAGTTTTATTTTCAGGGAATGAATTTCTCCTGCTGGTAGCATCTGAAATAAGCTCGATTTCGGAGAAAAATAAGTCCTCTTTCGAGAAAGGTAACAATTTCAGATTCTTCTGAAATATTTTTATTCTCATTCTTTCGCTCAAATGTTTTGTTATTTTAGTTTTTTTTTTTTTTTGGGTTTTCACGTGGTACTTAATTCTTGGTTTTTAATTATAGTTTATCTGATAGTGTTGGTGATAATTATCCTCCAGTTTCGTACTTCATTTTCTTGACTATCCGATCCAAGTAAAAGCTCAGAGTGATTTGTCCAGGGTGTAAGCAGGATTGGAGTTTTCAGACGGCTGATTAGCAATTTTGAGGTACAATCCTTTTAATTATCGTAATGGGTGGAAGTTTACATGGGCTAATACTGTGAAGGAGAAAGCAGAAATTGTGAAAGTTTTCTCTGTATATTTTATTCATTGTAGCTTGTCCTTTATACAAATCTATGTATAGATACAAAAAATGTAAATAAAATATTCCTATACATGGCTAAAATCTAACTAACTAACAGAAATATTCTTTACAATGTGTGTGTGAGCATGTGTGGTTCACGTATAAACAATTCTAGACCCTTCTCATCTGAAAATGAGAAATATCAAATTGGATGGCTGTGATTTATTTCTCTCTTATCAATTCAACGTCCCAGATGAAGTTAGATGAATTAGCATCAATGCTCATGATTTGGACACGGGGCTTTCTTCAAATAAGATTAATGTCTCAGATATCTTTAGACATAAGCTCAAACAAATCCTTGGAGACTCCGAAATTTCTTTCCACTTCTTCTTCTCTCTTGTTTCTTCATTATTCTGTGAAGCATCCATTGAATCAACATAGGGGTTCTTATCTTCAACATCCCCCTCAAGATGGAGGGGAGAGAATGGACCCCCAGCTTGCTCAAAATATGGCGATGAGAACCCCTAGATAAGGGTTTGGTGAACAAATTGGCGAGCTGACAGTCCGAGGGAACAAAAGAGAGAGATATCAAACCAGAAAGGAATTGCTGATGAACAAAGTAGCAATCGAGTTCCACATGTTTGGTGCGTTCATGAAAGATTGGGTTGCGAGCTATGTGAATCGCAGCCTGGCTATCGGAGTGGATAGGAACTGGTAAAGTAGGCTGGACTGTGAGACCCCCCAAAAGACGAACGAGCCAAGTGATTTCTGCTGTTACTCGACGCATGGAACGATATTCAGCTTCGGCAGATGACAAAGAAATGGAAGCTTGTTTTTTGGATTTCCGGGTAATAGGTGCACCTCCAAGGGTAATAAAGAACCCACTGACTGAGCGTCTAGAATCGCGACATGCTGCCCAATCAGCATCGCAAAAAGCCAGCAAATCAAAAGAGGGGTGTGAGGGTAGGAGAATTCCTTGTGAGGGATCTGTGTGGAGGTATCTCAACACACGTTGAGCAGCAGAATAATGGGAAGTGCAAGGCTTTTGCATATATTGGCTGAGTGATAGAACAACAAAAGAGAGGTCAGGTCTGGTGTTCGTCAAATAGTTAAGCTTACCAACTAGATGGTGATAGACATTTGGGTTGTCCATTGGTTCCCCAAAATCTGCTTGAAGCTTGATGGAAGGGTCAAGAGGTGAAGAAATTCTACTGCCTGAACAATCGAACTCTAGTAGCAGTTCTAAGGTAAATTTCCGTTGGCTTATAATGAATCCCTGATTTTCTCTGAGTATTTCCATGCCTAGAAAGTAATGAATATCCCCTAAATGTTTCACTTTGAATTCTGAATTGAGAAAACCAGTGATTTGTGTAATCTCTGTGGTATCATCCCCTGTGAGTAGAATATCGTCAACATATACTGCGAGGATAGAAACAAGAGCACCATTGTGCTTATAGAAAAGGGAATAGTCATTGAGAGAACTAGAATATCTTTTTAAACTCAAAGCTACTGCAAGTTTGGCATACCACTGTCTGGATGCCTGCTTTAACCCATAAAGGGACTTCTTTAAGAGACAAACCTGATTTGGTTTAGGTGGAAGAACACCTGCAGGGAATTTCATATAGACCTCTTCTTGCAATTCTCCATGTAAAAATGCATTATTCACATCAAGTTGTGACTCCCTCCAACCTTTTTTCACAGCCACAGTCAAAAGGCACCTTATAGTGGTCATTTTGACCACTGGAGAGAAGGTTTCAAAATAATCAATCCCTTCTCTCTCTGAATGTCCCCCTCACTACTATAAGCACGTGATTTTTGCCCTATATGAGAATTACTCCCAAAAATCTAAAATAAAACAATTTGTCTTTGTGTGCAATTTTTGAATTTTCATGGCAGTTTTGGATAATTATTTGTATTTTTTGTCTGTGCGTGTTTATTTGTTATATTAGTAAAAAATATAAAAATATGTCGCATTTGCATTTAATATTTAATTCTACAGTTAGGAGTAATTAAGTTTGTTTTACAAAATGAGAAAAAATCATAAAAATATGTATTTTGAATTTTTAGCATTTAACGTCCAAATTGGGTGATTTTATCGTTAATTGATATTTAATTGTGTGTTAATTGTTATTAGGAGTCAATTAGTATTTTTGAGATAATTTCGAGTTTTATAATTTAATCTTAGCATTTTTTAGCTTTATTAATTAGGAAATTGAATAAATAGAAAAAAACAAAAATAGAAAAAAATCGGATTGGGCCTTTTCTTCAAATTTAAACCACAAGCCCAAAAGAAACAAACCCATACCGNTGCAGCTTAACCAGCCTCTCCATCGTCTTCAACCACACACAGCTGCTCCAAGCTCATCCATGGCTGCGTGTGGTTTCTCCTGCTACGTCCGTCGACCTCCCGTGTCCGTCGCCACTGTTGCTCCTGCTACGTCCAGCCATGGACGAGCTGCGGCGTCACTACTGCTGCCTTCTGCTACGTCCAGCCATGAACGACCACCAAAGCTGCCCTCCGTCGAGCATGCTCAGCAGCTACTGCTTCACCGCCTCCTCGCCGCCACTGTTTCGTCTTCAAACGACACCAAACGACCATCTTCTTCGATCATTCGTTCGTGGTCGTCTTCGGCGTCAAGTTATTTTGGTGCGATAATTGTTTCCGGGCAGATTTGTTTTCGTTCGAGTTCGCTGTCGTTCCGATCCGGTTAGTGGGTTTAAGTTTCGTTTCTATCCGTATTTTGTTTTGATATTCTCGGATCTGAAATTAGTAGATGTTTGATTCTTGTTTTTGTTCGTGTTTATCGTTTCTTGATTATTGTTTCAGGTTGTTTCATTTGTTATTGTTTATTTTTAATAAAGAAACTATTAGTTTAATTATAATGTCGTTAGATTTAAATTGAAGTTCAATTAATTATTTCTTCAGTTTGTTTTTATTCGTTTAAAAGGATTTAGTTTTAATATAGAAATATGTCGGTTTGATAACTTGAATCCTTCGCCTTGACTGTAATATTGTTAGATCTAGTTTGAGGATCAATTGGTTATTTAGTTTAGTGATTTGAATCTGTTTATTTGTTCCGTTTAAGATTAATTTGAATTTAAAAAAAAAAATTGAATATCTTTGTTTGTTATTGTTGTTGAATCTGAAAATAGGATGTTGTTTAAAATTTGTTCAGTCAAAATAATTCCGGTTGTTTCTTTGTTGTTCACCATTTAGTTTGAATTTATTGATTGAATTTGATTAAGAATTGGTTATAGCTGCTATATTTTGGTTAATTGATTAGTTGAATTGGTTATAGCTGTTAATTTGGTTTAAGTTCTTAGATAATTTTTGAAGTTTGAACAGATTTTTGAATCTGGGCAGTAACAGTAGGTTTAGGGGTAATACGGGAATTAACCAATTGCAGATTTATTTAATTTAAGTGCTCCGCCCACTAAGCTCTAATAATAGTAAAATATTATAGTGGGGGACAAGACATATGGTAGTGGGGGANAATAGTAAAATATTATAGTGGGGGACAAGACATAATGATGTAAAGTAAAAAGGAAAGGGGATAATGACGAGGTTTTCTTTGACCACTCAAAAGGGGGGAACCGTGGGGTCCGTGTTGACTACTTTTACTTAAGTAAAAATCAGAAATAGTATAGGTAATAATAAAAAGTTAAAAGTTATACATAGTAGAAGAATATGGGGAAAAAAAAAGAGGTAAAAAGAAAAAGGTAGTCTTGCTTTGGGTATAAGAGGACTCATTTAACACTTGAAAAAAAAAAGAACAGAGAGAGAGAGAACAAAAACTGAAAAAAAAAATCTTCTACTTTCCTTCATTGTTTGAAATCAGCATTAATTGCTATTGTTTTCATCGAAGCTTGAAGCTTCTTTCTTGGGCTACTACTCCACCGGTTTGCAAACTCTGTTACTGGTCTATTCCTGTGTTGCTGGACTGTTTGTTGATGTGTTGTATTGTTACTACTGCTGCTGATTCTCATCTTCCTCTTCTCTTGTATTCAATACCAGGTACATGACTGTAACCTTGTCGATATTGTAAGCTGGAAAATGTGGAAAGCATGAATACACATGAAGAATGAAACTTTGAAATTTTAATTTTGCTTTTTCTTCGTCTCTTTTACTGATTGTATTTAGGCTATTTCATGTATTACTGTTTAATAATTGGAATAAGAGGAAAATAACATAAGTTGGTCTTTAGTGAATCAGCTTGGCAAAACGGGTTAATTCACTAGCTATGAAGGTTTTAATATGGTTAACAGTAGGTTAATCATGAATGGGTAGCTAAATTTAGTTAAGGCCAAACAAGACTAGATAATGTTTAAGTTTAATAAACTTTCTAATAAGCTTTAGTAATTATGGTTAAATCTAGTTTCAAATGGTTGTGAATAATTAATTTCAATAGTTTTTTTTTTATATATAACAATGCGAGCTTCAATCTAGTTATATTTGATTTCTTTTGAATATTAGTTATCAAATTTCTTATTTTATTTATAATTTCGAATTTTCTTTTTTTTTAGTAAAATTCCTTTCCATTAATATTTGTCCTAATCTAGCAATTAGTATGTTACGTTTTCTTAATTTTTTTTTCTTTCTTGAAAGCTCCTAATTAATTAGGATTTTCTTTCTTTATTTTAGAGACTAATTTTAATAGAAAAATGTAGTCATTTTAGGATTGNTGAATTAAATAAATAATCCTATTTCGAATATTGTCACTTGAATTGGAAAAACTCCATCACGCATTTATCCTTCGGGGTAGGCGCGCAAAAAGGAGGTGTGACAGCTACTAGCCTAGCTTTCAACCTTTCCACAGTTCCATCTGAATGATGCTTAACCTTGTATACCTATTTACAAGGTAAAGCTTTCTTTCCTAGGGGCAAATCTACCACATCCCAAGTGTGGTTTAGTTGCAAAGCTGTAATTTCTGCATCCATGGCAGCTTGCCAACCTGGGTGATTAGAAGCCTGTACATAGCTGCTAGGTTCAGAAATGGTAGATAGGGATTGAACCAGATGTTGATTAGAAGGGGATAAAGCTGCAAAAGAGAAAACAGGATAAAGCTGCAAAAGAGAAAACATTAGGAATAGCAGGCTGATTGAAGCAAGAATCAGTGAGATTAGAAAGAATGATGGCATTGCACACTGTCTGTCAAATAGGCAGGCCTTTGAGAAATTGTGTTAGACTGTCGAATAGGTGGTGGAGGTGTGAGAATCACATTTCTGGATGTTGTGTGAGGGGGTGAGTAGGAAGGAATGTAAGATTCACTCGGGATTGGTGTGGGTGCAGCTTCAGAATGAGGTGAAGAGTGTGGAACATTGGGTGAAATAGGGCTAGAACTAGATGTCCCAAGTGGTGTTGAATGAGTGTCTGAAAGAGGTGAATTTGGTGAGTGAGTAAGTTCTAGCTGTTGTGAAGAAGATTCATCTCTGGGAGCTGGAGAGTAGGTATTAGGAGTTGAGAGAGTTGATATATCTGGTGCAAAATTATGAGTGGGATTAGAATAGGATGGAAAATAGGTGGAGAAGTGTGCTTGGTGAAAAGGAAAAATATCTTCATGAAATTTGATATCCCTGGAGACAAATACCCTTTTTGTATCTTTATTCAGTACCTTGTATCCCTTTTGTCCTTGTGCATATATCCTAAGAAAACACAAGTCTTGGCTCTAGGTTCAAATTTTCCTCTGTTATGAGACAAGGTGGACACATAGCACAAACATCCAAAACTTCTTAGAACCTCATATGTAGGTTCTTTCCCAAATAGAACTGCATATGGTGTTTTCCCTTTCAATACCTTTGAGGGGAACCTGTTTATCAGAAATGTCTATGTTTCCTCTTAACTACCCCATTTTGTTGAGCTACACAAGAGGTTTCATGAAGGATCCCTTGTTCTTGAAAGAACCAGGATTCTTGTGTTCCCTTTCCCAATTCCCAAGCATTGACTGATCTCACCCTTTTTACTTTCTTGTTGAACTACCATAGAGAGAAAAGACTTTAAAACTGGAAAAACATTGCTTTTGGTACTTAATAAGAAAGTCCAGGTTGCCCTACTGAAATCATCAACTATGGTAAAAAATAGTTGTATCCATTATATGTAGTAGTCTTAAAGGGACCCCAAGTATCTATGTGAATGAGGTCAAATGGAGATGTAGTTCTGACTTGGCTAATGGGAAAAGGAAGCCTAGTTTGCCTTGCCTTAGCACAAATGTGACACACAGAATTAAAATCTGAAGGAAAATGAACAAAGCTAAATTTCTTCATTACTGAAAAGGGCAAATGCCCCAACCTTACATGCCATTGAGTTACATCTGAAACAGCATTTGCAAAAACTGAAATTTGAAATGAAACTTTACTAGGTACCAGACTGGAATCACTTCCTTTTGGAATGGAAATTACATTCTGACTAAATAGAATTCTAGACTCTGAAGTTCTAGGCTGGAGTAGATATAATCCATCTCTTACTTCACCAAAAACTTGTCCCTTCCTCATTAAAGGGACCTGCAATAGACATTTACTAGAAGTAAGATTGATGATGCATTTGAATTGAGTGCATAACTTATGAATAGATAACAAGTTATACTTTAAAGATGGAACATAAAGAACTCTTTCTAGGGTCATATCTGGCTGAATGCAAACCTGCCCTATGTGTGTGACAAACAGTTAAAAAGAATTAGACAAACTTATATGTAAATGCACAGGTAATGGTGTTAGAGTTATGAAAGACTTGGAATCAAAACACATATGTTCTGAGGCACCTGAATCAATTATCCAGGTTTTAGTATTAAAAACAGCAAGACATGTTCCTAAATATTTGAGAATAGTACCAGCAACAACATTGGCACTAATTTCTGAGGTTGCATTTCCTGTACTCCCCACCTGCACCTATCTGATTATGTTTACCAGTTCAGATACCTGTTCCGTGCTGAAAAATTGTGCTTGATTGTTAAGGTTTGCTTCATTGTTCTCACCCGACTGTCCATCACCCTGCTGGTCTGAAACTACAACATTTGATTTTATTGCTGCTCCTTGAAAATTTCCACCCTTAGTGAATTGGAATTCATCAGGGAACCCTATTAGTCTGTAGCAATCAGCCCTCATATGTCCTTTCTTTGAGCAGTGGCTGCAAGTAGCATTTGGATTAAATTTAGATTTCTTTGTCTTAGACTTATATTGCCTGTTTCCTGGCTTTTGCTGAGAATTCCAATCCTTTTGCATTTGGTTGTTTTTCTGTGGAAATTTGTTCTGTGATCCTACCATGAAGAAAGCCCTATCAGTTGGATATTGTGGGCTCATATAGATCTCCCTTTGGCTCTCATTTTGTAGTAAGAGTGAGTAAGTTTGATCCATGCCAGGAATAGGACTGGGCATTAGAATATTTACCCTTGCTTGTGCATAAGCATCATTCAGTCCCATTAGGAATTGAATGACCCTTTGATCTTCCATGAACTTAGCCATCTTCTTCTTTCCATCATAGATAAATGCACAAGTGCACCCTAAGTGTGAGTTAAGTGAGTAGCTCATCCCATAGTCTTTTAAATGTGGTGAAATAACCTGATATGCTGCTGTTTCCCTGACATGTTTTTGAAATTTCCTTCTGCAGATGGTATAGTTTTGCTCCACTAGACTGCCCAAACCTGTGTTCCAGGCTGCTCCAAAGGTCCTTAGCAGTCCTTGAATAGATGACATTGTCACCTATCTCTTTGGTCAAAGAATTCAGCAACCAAGAGGTGACCATGTCATTGCACCTACTCCACAATGGATATTCTTTATCACGCATTGCTGGTTCAGCAACAGAACCATTGATGAATCCAAGTTTGTTTTTGGCTGAAATTGCAATGAGGACAGATCTCTTTCATCCTGGGAATCCTCTTCCATCGAATGGCGAACTCACAAGACCCATTCCTGGAGTATTAGAAGAGTGCAAGTGATAGAGATGATTGGAGTCATTGTTGACTGCACTGGTTGTGGATCCAGATGCTATGATGGCAGCTGCTGCTTCAGTACCAGACATGGTTGAATCCAGATATGGATAACAGAGAAAAAAAATTAGAAAGAAACTTGAGATGATTTGTGAACGGATCGAGCTTAACTCTGCTCTGATACCATGAAGGAGAAAGCAGAAATTGTGAAAGTTTTCTCGGTATATTTTATTCACTGTAGCTTGTCCTTTATACAAATCTATGTATAAATACAAAAAATGTTAATAAAATATTCCTATACACTTGTACTATTTCCTCTTGACTAAAATCTAACTAACTAACAGAAATATTCTTTACAATGTGTGTGAGCATGTGTGGTTCACGTGTAAACAATTCTAGACCCTTCTCATCTGAAAATGAGAAATATCAAATTGGATGGCTGTGATTTATTTCTCTCTTATCAATTCAACGTCCCAGATGAAGTTAGATGAATTAGCATCAATGCTCATGATTTGGACACGTGGCTTTCTTCAAATAAGATTAATGTCTCAGATATCCTCAGACATAAGCTCAAACAAATCCTTGGAGGCTCTGAAATTTCTTTCCACTTCTTCTTCTCTCTTACTTCTTCTTCTCTCTTGTTTCTTTATTATTCTGTGAAGCATCCATTGAATCAACATAGGGGTTCTTATCTTCAACGTACTGAGATGTGGTTTGGAGTTGCCTTTTGTAGTCTTAAAATATCTCAATTTAGGTGGATAAATAGTATGTACAAGCTATAAATATATTAATGCCACCAAATCGGACACTATCAGAAGCTTGTAAATATAATTCCTCGAAAATTCTGTTCAAGGCCCTGATGCAGCAGAAGCCATGAACTATTTTCAATATATGCAGTCAAACCAATATATTTTTCATCCCCTTATTTTTAAATTATGTTCTGCTGTATTGAATTATGGTCTCGGAAGGTTTATTTCTCATGAAATTGATCTGAAATTCGGGATTATACTTAAAAGAGCACTTGTTGCCACTTGTTAAGGATTAGCCCATTGCTTATAAAATATTGAGAAATATGAAAAGTAATGCTGATTTACTGCTATATTGGATGTATTTATTGGTGTTATGATTATGTGGATGCTCCTTATTTTGTTCCTTGTGAAAGATTTCAAGGATTGAATGATTTTCTTGGCCAT